GACACGCCCGGGACACTCCCCCAGATCCTCCAGGATCGCCCCAAGAGGGCCCCAAGAGGCCCCCAACACAATCCAAGAGAGGTCCGAGACGCCCGAATATCGCTCCACGGCGCCCAAGATGGCCTCCAGAAGGCCCAAGAGGTCTCCAAGATGACTCAACAAGCCTCCAAGATGCCCCAAGAGGCCTCCAGGAGCACTCCCAAGAGGGCCCCAAGAGGCAACAATCAATGCTTTTTCTTAGGTTTTGGACAGATTTGGGCGTTTCAACCTTTTCGGTTCCCCGACGCCCCTGAACGGCTCAAGAGGCCTCCAAGATCGCCCCAAGAGGGCCTAAGAGGCCCTCAAAAGGGCCCCAAGACGGCCCAAGACGGCTCAGAACGCCGCCAACACGGTCCAAGAGAGGTCCGAGACGCCCGAAGATCGCTCCACGACGCCCAAGATGGCCTCCGGACGGCCCAAGACGTCTCCAAGATGGCCCAACAAGCCTCCAAGATGCCCCAAGAGGCCTCCAGGAGCACTCCCAAGAGGGCCCCAAGAGGCAAAAAACTGTGTTTTTCCTTTGGTGTTGGATTGATTTGGGCGTTTCAACCTTTTCGGTTCCCCGACGCCCCTAAACGGCTCAAGAGGCCTCCAAGATCGCCCCAAGAGGGCCCAAGAGGCCCCCAAGAGGGCCCCAAGACGGCCCAAGACGGCTCCAAGACGGCCCCAGAGGCCTCCAGGACGGCCCAAGAGGGCCCCAAGAACGCCCCCAACACGGTCCAAGAGAGGTCCGAGACGCCCGAATATCGCTCCACGACGCCGAAGATGGCCTCCAGACGGCCCAAGACGTCTCCAAGATGACCCAAGAAGCCTCCAAGATCCCCAGGAGGTCTCCAAGTGCATTCCCCAGAGGGCCCCAAGAGGCAAACAAACAATGCTTTTCCATAGGTTTTGGACAGATTTGGGCGTTTCAACCTTTTCGGTTCCCCGACGCCCCTAAACAGCTCAAGAGGCCTCCAAGATCGCCCCAAGAGGGCCCAAGAGGCCCCCAAGAGGGCTCCAAGATGGCCCAAGACGGCTCCAAGACGGCCCAAGAGGCCTTCAAGAGGGCCCCAAGAGCGCTTCAAGAACGCCCCAAGAGGGGGCTCACGAAACAGAATTTTGAGCTCTCGGCCCTTAGAGGCCCCCGGGAGGCCCCAAGAGCCCCCCAAGAGGCCCAAGGGGGCCCCAAGACGCCGCCAAGGAGCACCAAGAGACCCCCATGAGGCCCCCAAGAGGCCCCTAGGAGGCCCCAAAGAGGCCCCCAAGAGGCTTCAAAGAGGCCCCATAGAGCGCTCGAGGGCTGGCGGAATGAGCGAAGCGATTAAATAAGGTATTGGAGTCCCCGTGATGATGTCACCGTCCGGACCCAAATCGCTCCCAACCTCCGAACTATCCACGTGGGATTTGTAGAAGCGCCACGAGAGGAAACCGATCCCGCGCACCGTCCCGAAGGTCATGATCATGCCCTCGAGCTTGTCTCGTGCACCTCTTGGAGCGACTCGTGCCAGGACTGAGCCTGCTAGGCCATGTCATCGGCCGCCTCGACTATCTCGTACTTCGTCGTGAACATGGCGCCGATCCGCAGCACCTCCCAAAACCTCCAGCCGACAAGCGTTCCTGCCACGAGCGTCCAGCCAGCACGACTGAACCAGAAGTAGTTGGCCAGGTTCACGGCCCCTCCGAAGACACACCATACAACGTTATCCTCCTTGGATGTTTTCCTCTGCTTCGGCGGGGCCTTCTTGGAAGGACGTGGCTTGACCATTGCACATGCGTCGTGCATCTTCTTTCGTGCGATCAGGTTCTCGGACAGCCCGAACCTGACATCCTTGGGTGCTCAGTCCAAAGGTCCTGGTTGGTCGGCTTGGTAAACGCCTCCGCTTTATCTCTGCCGCATGTCGCCCAGACCGTGGAAGATGCACTACCCACCTTTGTCAACAGCAGCGTGCACACCCCCGACGTCGCATCCGTTTTGTAGTAGATCCTGTTCCACCTGGCCCACGGAGCCATCACGCCCTCACGTGTGCCACGAACGGTCACGTCGTCGGCGGCGGGATCGTCGAACGATTCCGAGACCTCGTCGTCGTCGCTCGCCTCCACAGCCATGAAGAAAGCCTGGCCTTCCTCGCACAGATCGCCCGCCCGCCAACCAATCAGGCCAGCTGGGAAGTACAGATGGAGCCGCGGCGTGGCCCCTGAGAGAAGCGGCCCTCCACCAAGCGGTGCTGGGCTCGGAAAGGCACAAGTAGCTTGCTGAAATACGAACCCTCGAACCGACACTTTACACCAACAACAACCGTGCAAGGCACGTAGGGTACGAAGGGGCCGCCCAAGGGGGAGGGCACTAGCTCGATAAGAGGGCGTTTGGAAAACATATAGCCGGGCGCTGATGGCACTGCTGGCTCCATGAAACAAGGAGGGATGATTCTGCTCCACTGCAATTAATCAAACTCCTCGCCCGAGGAACCAGACATAGGGAACGAAGCCACTCTCTATCCCCAGCTGTACCTAAAATTACGCATGAGAGCCCCAATGAAAACCAAACCCTTTACGAAACAACAGTGGTCCTTACCTCAAATCTCCAGCTGTATATGATATGCAGCGCCTGCATGACACGGCGTTGCCTCATACTGGGGCAATGCGCAATTAGTAATGGTTCTACCCGTCGATCGATGTAAGGGATGTCGATGCCAACGGGTCGACAACACATCGGCCGAAGTATCCAGTCACGCGGCAACCAAACGCCAACTACTACAACCGCAACCGTCTTCAACGGCCAACGATACAGTACTGCACTAGTAGTGGAAACAGGTCCTGGGACCAGGGGATTTCCTCAGGACCAGCTTTCAACCCTGAGAAAGGGAAGAACAAACACCCCTTCCAAAACATCCGACATGATTTTTGTCGGGTGGCTTGCCCCCAGAGCTCCACTCCAGGGCTGGCTCTTCATCCCGACTCGTTATTTGACGGCCCCAGGGCCAAGGCATGGCCCAGGGGAAACCGAACACGTCGAAGAACTTCAAAAAGGGCGCCATTTTTGGGGTCGCCGCCCACAATCGCTGGTTCCACCTGTTTGCAGGGCAGACACGGACTCTGAGAGAAACGAGTCTTGGGCCCCAAAACTTTTCCGAGTCCGATTGCTTTCTGATGCTGGTGTTCATCCTGAGTCGTTTCAACGGTCCGGGGGCTCCAGGAGGCCGGAAGCAGTAAAAAGCCTGACACCACACTTCCCTCCGAACCCATGGCGTTTTGGCGCTCCCGGTCCTCCTCCTCCTCCTCCTCCTCCTCCTCCTCCTCCTCCTCCTCTTCTCCTCCCTCCTTCTCCTGCAGTGCGAGCAAATATTAAGGCATGCGCACATCTCCTCTTTCTGCCTTCTTGGCCGTGTGCGTGGACTCATGCGGGCGGCGGGGCTTCTCAGGAGCCCTCGCGCCTTCTCGGAAGGCTGGAGGCCTTCCGAGCTCTTTCAGAGGCGGCCCGCTGCCCCATTCCCCACCCCCGGGCGCGCCGCCGAGTTGCCATCCTCGTCGCCGTCATTCTCTTCATGGTGTCGGCTACACCCTGCGAAATGCTTAAGAAATCATGGGTTAAGAAATTCAGAGTCTCAGAACTTGAATAAAAAACCCAACATTTCTATGAAAATCTTAGGATTTGCATTGAAACATTAAGAATAATGGAGACTCTGGCCGAAAACTTAGGTTTTCTTCAGCATCGCCTAAGGTGTACACGCAGGAGCGACCCTGGGCAAGAGTGACCACCTGTGCGCGGCCTCGTTGGTTCTGCGGGGGGGCCGAACACACGCGCGCAAGACGCTGGCACCGCGTCGCGCTCGGCGATCGGGGGACCCCAATGGACCCGCACCAAAGAGCTGCCATCTTCGTCGTCGTGGAGAAGGAGGAGGAGGAGGAGGAGGAGGAGGAGGAGGAGGAGGAATAGGAGGAGGAGGATAAGTGTAAACCAAGGAGTCATCAACGATGTTGGAATTAACCCTCCCTCCAAGCTCCCTCTTCACATGCCCCTACAACGGCTCATTTCCATTGAGGGAGCTGGCTCGTTGGAAGACACACTGAAGCATACCAAAATATTGTTTCCAAGATCTCAACGCAACGGATCAACCTGACTGCTGCGTCTTGACGCTCTGGAACCGTGCCAAAACGCCATTTTGGGGACTTGAACAATGGAATCAACATAACTGCTGCACCCGCAAATCCGGAATCCGTCCCAAACACCGTTTCTGGTACGCTGACCATGGAAATCTGTGAAACTCTTCCAACTGTTACAAACGAATGTACGCGGCGCTAAAACGAGAGCCACATTTTGAAAAGGAGCCGCCCTCGCTCCGTGAAACTTTTGCAAATGTTTAAAAGGAATGTGCGCGGCGCTACGGCGAGAGCCACATGTCCCGCCCTCGCTCCGTGAAACTTTTGCAAATGTTTAAAAGGAATGTACGCGGCGCTACGGCGAGAGCCACATTTTGAAAACGACCCGCCCTCAATCCGTGAAGCTCTTGCAAGAGTTTAAAACGAATGTACGCGGCGCTACGGCGAGAGCCACATTTTGAAAACGACCCGCCCTCAATCCGTGAAACTCTTGTAGATTTAAAACGAATGTGCGCGGCGCTACGGCGAGAGCCACATTTTGAAAACCACCCGCCCTCCATCTGTGAAACTGTTGCCACTTTTTAAGCTTCAGGGTCATAAATGATGAGGAAGTCTCAGGCGAAACGCCCGGCCCTCCCCAACAAATGGCCTCGGGGTGCGACAGGGGACAATTAGTTGTAAGGAACAAGAGAATGGAGGAGGAGGAGGAGGAGGAGGAGGAGGAGGAGGAGGAGGAGGAGGAGGAGGAGGGTCGAGGAGGAGGGTCGAGGAGGAGGGTCGAGGAGGAGGAGGAGGAGGAAAAGAGGGAGGCGACATTCTCTTCGTCGTGGCCCTGCCACCCGGCCCGGCCGGCGCGGGCGGGGAAGCGGGGGCGGCAGCTCCCGCGCGAGTGCCGCCGCCCAGGCACCTTCGGGGGCGCGCGCCCGCGTCTGCCCCCCCAGGCTTGCGATCCGCTCGGACGTCGACTCCTCGTGCGCTTTTCGGTCTCGGGCGTGCCTTCTTTGGCCAGAGGATCCAGCATGCCCCTCGAGGGCCTTCGCCGAGACAAGACATGCACTCGTCCGAGCGATGCCAAGCAGTACGACGACGTTCCCCAAGTTTCTTGGGGGGGGCATTTCCTGGGGTGGGGGGGGGGGCTCTCGTCGCACAGGCTGCACAGTCGCACAGCAGGCAGTGCGTGGTGCGTGGACTAGGCAGGGTGGCGTTGCCGGGAAGCCCCCAGGGCAGGCCCCCGCTTCGGCCCAAGGATTCTGCCCTGCCTTTAAGAGCCGCCCATGATGGACGCTCGCGCCCACCATGCTTCAGGGGTGGTGGCACAACAGGGAGCAGGGCCAGGAACGGGGTGAACACGCCCCACGGAAGGGGGGGACCCTGATAGTATGCGGGGGAAGGAGGAAGGATGATGACGATGACGATGACGATGACGACGGCGATGGCGATGACGATGACGTCATCGCCATCGAGGAGAAGGAGGAGGGGGAGGAGGAGGGGGAGGAGGAGGGAGGAGGAGGAGAGGAGGAGGGAGAGGAGGGGGGGAGGAAGGAGGGGGGAGGAGGAGGAGAGAGGAGGAGGAGGAGGAGGAGGAGGAGGAGGAGGAGAGGAGGAGGAGGAGGAGGAGGAGGAGGGAGGAGGAGGAGGAGGAGGAGGAGAGGAGAGGAGGGAGAGAGAGGAGGAGGAGGGAGGAGGAGGAGAGGAGGAGGAGGAGGAGGAGGAGGAGGAGGAGAGGGAGGAGGGAGGAGGAGGAGAGGAGGAGGAGGGGGAAGCCGAAGAAGGAGGAGGCGGAGGACTCGTCCTCGCCGTCGCCGTCCTGGCCCGCTCCGTGCCCACCCCGCGCCCGCCAGCGGGCCTTGAGGAGCCCCGTCGGCATGCCCTCCGGCGTAGGCAGGTTCTCCTCGCTGGCGCTGACGCCTGGCCGCGGCGGCGGGCTCTTTGTGGTTGTCACGCCCGCGCGCGGCGGTCGCCGCCGCCGTCGGAGTCTGATCGGAGTCTGATCGGGGGACTCGGAAATCCCCGACGAGGTCGTCAAAAAAATGACGAGGCCGAGCCTGCATTTTGACGAGGCCTCCCGCTGCAGACATCCCACGGAACTCCTCCTCGTCAAAATCCGAGGCGCGGTCGTCAAAAAACGATGGCGAACCCGAGTCCTGGCAAACCCGGGTCTTACGCTCCCCCGATCTTTGTGGTTGTCACGCCAGCGCGCGGCGGTCGCCGCCGCCGTCGGAGGCTGAGGACGGGGCACATCAAATGTTAAAACAATTATCCCGGCAAAGCAACCTAACAGCGATGTGTAGGAGCATATCTGGAAGCATTCCCCTTAAGATTCAGATGAGAATCCAGTTGTAGAATTCTGCTGTTCTCGCAGTCGTAGTCGCATTCGCGATGACAGTCGCAGTGGCAACGGCAGTCGCAGTCACAGCCTCAGCCTCAGCCTGCCTCAGCCTCAGCCTCAGCCTGCCTCAGCCTCAGCCTGCCTCAGCCTCAGCCTGCTTCAGCCTCAGCATCAGCAGCCTCGGCCTCAGCCTCAGCCTGCCTCAGCCTCAGCCTGCATCAGCCTCAGCCTCAGCCTCAGCCTGCCTCAGCATCAGCCTGCCTCAGCCTCAGCCTCAGCCTCAGCCTGCCTCTGCAGCCTCAGCCTGCTTCAGCCTCAGCCTGCCGTCGGCCTCGGCCTCAGCCTCAGCCTGCCTCAGCCTCAGCCTGCATCAGCCTCAGCCTCAGCACGAAGCGACCCAGCTAGAAGGACAAAGCGCTGAATGTACACCGATGTGTTCGACGACTGCGTATGTAATGATGTGACGATATACAGACTGAGCCCTTCGTGAATGTCTACATGTTTTTCTGACGCCTACAAACGGCGCTGACGTGTGTGAGAAAATTGTCCGCGCAGCAAAAGCCGGCGAAGCGTGCGGGAGCTCGCATGCTGAGACAGACTACGTCTGCAGACCGCCAGCTGCAAAAGGTTGCGAGCGGCTCTTGGAAGATGTTTACGGAACGGAGCTACGGTGTCTGAAAACATTGGCATCGAAGCGAAGAGCCTCGGAGCCCTGCAACCTGAGAAACACCGCAGGAACTCGCATACTGAAAAGGAATGCATTGCAAACCGCACGCTGCGAACCCTGCAGGCTGAGAAGCACCGCAGGATGTCGCATGCTGAAAAGCACTTGTACTGCAGAGCGCTAGCACTCCATCTCGGGCTCGGACCCCCCCGTCCTGATCCAGAACGTGTCCGGCCACGGCCTGAAAATGCCGTTCCAACTCCCGAGGATCAGCTGGCACTCCGGCTCTGGGACACTCCAGTACGTCTTGAGCACCTTGAGCCAGGCCCCATCTCGGGATCCCCACAGCACGCTGTACTTGACCGAGACCGTGCCGAACTCATAACAATTGACCTCCGAAGGACCTGCGAGTGCAGGCTGAGAAACACCACGCGATTGCAGGGCACGGCATTGCGTGTCACATGAGTGCAGGCTGAGAAGCACCACATCTCGTTTGCCAGAGATCACTCCCAGGTTATTTGATCCCGCAACACCAGCCACGGCGTAGCTGCCACAGGGGCCGCAGATAGCAACGGTTCGGTCACCCAATTGGCGTTCCGGTGAGTCACAATTCGCGCGTGGCTCCACGAGCCTGTGTAGCGCGATTTGCGGGGCACCAGTGTGCTGTAGGTGTTGTTGCCGTAGCAGAAGACGGCCTCTGGAGCCCAGTGCGGATTCCAGCGGACAGCGTAGACCCTGTGGACGCCATTGCGGATGACGTCGCGCGCACCTTCGATATGTGCCACCCATCGAAGCCAGTCAAATGCTGAGCCATCGGTGATGTCAACAGCACCTGGGGCAGTCTCGCCATGGTGGTAGTGCAACAGCGATTGGAGAGCGGCGCTGGCTTCGTCGCGGCCCACAATCTGGCGCGAGCAGGCTGCCTCTTGCAGGTGCTCCTGTGTGAAGAGCAGTGGGGCATCACCGCCAGTCTCGGCAGGCTGAGCAGCGCCACCGTCAGGCACGGCAGTCTGAGCAGCGCCGCCACGAGGAACATGAGGCTGAGCAGCGCCAGGCTCAGGCACGGCAGGCTGAGCAACGGCGCGTGGTGGACCGACATAGGTGGGCTCATCGGGTCGGCCGTTCTTATGGTAATGCAGGCGCATGGCTGAACCGTCTGCACGACGGAACTCGAAGAAGTGCCTGCCGTGGCCATCCGTGTTGGAGTAGTTAGGGTCGCGCTCTGTCTCGATGATGCGAAAGAGAACCTGGGCGATGCCCTGCCCGATTATGCGCTCAGCGAAACCCGGAGCGGCAGACCGAAGCAGTTGCTTCCAGTCGTAGGACGGGTCGTTTGTTACGTCTTTGAACGACAAGTTGTTGACAATGCACTCGGCGCGCAGCGCGCGCTGCCACTGGCAGGCGGTCTTGCCGCCCATCCCTGGTGTACGGCGGATGTCTTCGAGGTGAGCCTGCTCAAAGACCACGTCGACACCTGGCTGAGGAGTCGGTGCGGGCGGATCCGGCAGAATCTCCCACGGGCCATCGCACGGGGCCGGGGGTGGCGGGGGCGATGCCTTGCCGCGTGCTGGCATTGTGACAAGGCAGGCTGAGGAGCACCGCCGAGGCTGGACGGCCAGGTGAAACTCGAGCAAACATGTGGCTACAGCTCTAAGCAAAATGGCTACGAGGAGGTTAAGGATGATGATGATGGTGTTGATAGGAAACCCGGTATCAGCGAGTTGATGTACAATGAGGTGTCCGCAAACGAGACACTGCTGTCAACGCTGTTATAACTAACCACAAACGAGACACTGCTATCAACGCTTGCACAATTAAAAAGAAACGCTGGCATTGACACTACTAGCAATACCAAAGTGGAGTTTAAACGAGGCACTGCCATCAACCGATTCAACTTCCAATAAAAGAAGATCACAAATGAGTTCACTCTGAAGTGACCCATGGCTATCAATGCGAGAAGTCTCTGCAAACTATTCACTCATGGCGACCGCCGCGCACACGCGTGTAGGAAATCGTTGATGATGATAGTGGTAATGGAGTGGGGGCCAGTAATGCAGATACACTGCTGTGCATTCACTTGCTGCGAAAAGAAACTCTGTATGAATGAGTTGATATATAATGAGTTGTCCACAAACGAGACACTGCTATCAACGCTTGTATAAGTAAAAAGAAACGCTGCTATCGACACTTCCCCCAATACTAAAGTTGTCTTTAAACGAGTCACTGCCATGAACGGCTTCAACTACAGTGTAACGAAAGGAACTGCAGGCTGAGAAGCACCGCAGGCCAACGTGAACCAGTCGTGGTGATGAGGATGAGTGAAATCTGCGATGATGATAGCGATCATGAAGTCGGTTGTAGGAACCCACTTTTGTAGTAACCAACATACACTGGTATGCATTCACTTATGGTGAAAGGAAACTCGGTATCAGTGAGTTGATATAGAATGAGTTGTCCGCAAACGAGACACTGCTATCAACGCTTTTAGAACGAAGCGAACCCATCAGAACACTGTTATCAACGGAAAGAATGCTGTAGAAGGACAAAGCGCTGAATGTACACCGATGTGTTCGACGACTGCGTATGTAATGATGTGACGATATACAGACTAAGCCCTTCGTGAATGTCTACATGTTTTTCTGACGCCTACAAACGGCGCTGACGTGTGTGAGAAAATTGTCCGCGCAGCAAAAGCCGGCGAAGCGTGCGGGAGCTCGCATGCTGAGACAGACTACGTCTGCAGACCGCCAGCTGCAAAAGGTTGCGAGCGGTTCTTGGAAGATGTTTACGGAACGGAGCTACGGTGTCTGAAAACATTGGCATCGAAGCGAAGAGCCTCGGAGCCCTGCAGCCTGAGAAACACCGCAGGAACTCGCATACTGAAAAGGAATGCATTGCAAACCGCACGTTGCGAACCCTGCAGGCTGAGAAGCACCGCAGGATGTCGCATGCTGAAAAGCACTTGTACTGCAGAGCGCAAGCTGCGAAACCTGCAGGCTGAGAAGCACCGCAGGAACTCGCATGCTTTCGAACACTACTGCTCGAGACCGCAGCTGGAGAGCGGCAGACCGCAGGCTGAGAAGCACCGCGGGCAGGGAGACTTGCAAAACTCAGATGTCCTGATCGTCTTGGAGGAAGTCACGCCAGTCCGGCGGCTGCCAAGAATCGATGATGCGCCTGGAGCCACCGCCCGTGCTGCCGCCGATGTCCAGGTAGTCGCCATCGGCCCTGAACAGACGGCCGTGCCCCAACGCCAGAATCGCTTGGTTGCGGATTTGAAGCAGCGCTCCGCTCTCAAACATCTGCAACACGTCCAGCTGCCTGCGCGTGAAGTTCGGCTTTGGCTGGCCAGCCTGGGCAGACAGATGGCGGGAAAGCCGCTCCCCCTCGTTGTAGCGCGCGATGGCCTCGGCCTTCTGGTGGTGCAGCCGGCGCCGCTGTTGCCGCAGAGCTTCCTCGGGAACTGCTGCATCACGGCCCTCACTGTGATCAGCTTGCAACGCTTGCGTTAGCCAATCAACGTCGAAGCGCCCTGAGAAGGCCAGCACCTCCCAGATCTGTTTGGTACCGGCCACACGTTGCAAATGGCGATGCCACCGCTTACGCTTCTGGTCTTTCACAAACTTGGCGACGCCACCCAGACCTGCACCCTTGGCCTGGCCACCTTTTCCCGCAGGCTGAGAAGCACCGTGAGAACCTTTCTTACCGCCTGGCCCTTTGTTAGGACCCTGCGGAACCGCATGGCCCCCTTGTGGCGCAGACTTGCCTCTCGCTTTTCCCTTTTCGACATCCCGTTCCTGAAGCGCACGCTGCTGCCGCGACTGCTCGTACTGGTCGCGAGCTACTCTGACCAATTCCTGGCGCTCAGGCTCCGTGAGAACGTAGCGCATGTCGTCGATGTTCTTGCTCCGCAGA